ATAGGCGCCAAGCCATTTCTAACATTTCTTTATAGGAGGAATCCTCTTCTGTAGCTACCTCATGATCCCTAGAAGGGGTTACTCTGGACTGGCATTTCATGTTGCCAGAATTTTTCTGCTGATTCTTCTTCACAAGTGCTTTCTTATATCTGTTTCCTTACCCTAATTTTCCTCTCACTTCTTCTTGTTCTAAGTTACTATGCTGCTGGCCTAAAGTTTTAATGAGTCATTTTGGTGGAAGACCAGAAGGATGAGAAGATTGAGGAGCAAGAAGGGAAAGAGATTTAAAATAAACAAAGAGAGAAAAAGAAGAAGGGGAGAGTAAAAGGAAATATTGACAAAAGAAGAAAGGTACCAAAAGAACCAAACAGGAGTAATATATGTGTATATAGGGTACTATGACCCACCCTTAAAGACCCCCAAACTCTGGGGGTTCCAGGTTGGGTTATTCCCTTAAAGTCAACAGCTCTTTGCCAACCGGCTCAGACACAGTACCCTGCCTCCACCAGGTAGAGGAAAGACAAAAATACTATAAATCAAACCATAACAAACAAAAACCCTAATAGGATAACATTGGGGGTAAAAAAACAAATAATAGGGGCAGAAACATTGGCAAAAATGAAATTCTAGTTATTAAAGAAGGCAAACTAGAATAATGAAAAAAAGAAAAAGAAAAATGTCAAAAAAAGAAAAATGTTGAAACCATTTTCACTAATTCACTTGCCTAGTAAAGTCTGCAACTGCTCTCTGCAGTATGACAAGTCAACTATAAATTGTTTTGCTTCAAGGGTTATCATAAATTTGCCAAAGATGACTCTATAATACAACTTTTGTTCCAGTTGAGCTGGTCTTCTCATAGTTTTCCATGTATACTAATTTCTATTTTTATGTCTTTGCTCTTACTGTTGATTCTACTTTGAACACCCATCCTTCCTGCTATCAAAATTTTACTTTCTTAAAGCACAAAGTCCCACCTCTTCCATGAAGTCTTCCCAAAGTTTTATATTCTACCTTCATATCTTTCTTTCAATACTACTCAGATTAACACTGTAATTGCACCGTAATAGTTTCATGTATCTTTTTAAAATTTCAATAAAATGATCTTATATTCAAAGAAGAAAGTTTACATTTCTATAAGAATAGAAAAGAACAGAAATAGGCTCATATATGTTAAGTATTCAGTAAATATCTGACTAGTTAATAAATCCATGGGTTTTTTGTTTCTTTGTTTTTTTAGGAAAAAACAGGCAAAAATTTCTCTGGGCAATTAGTCTGGCCATACATATAATTAGTACCCTAATTTCTAGAGACCACTTTTTTCTTTCACACTAAAAAGCAAACACAAAACTAAAACTTATTATGTTATATGTTATTATTTTCCTATTCTAAGCTATGTGAACAATGCTCATAATTCTTTTTTTTTTTTTTTGCAGTTTTTGGCTGGGGCTGGGTTTGAACCCGCCACCTCCGGCATATGGGGCCAGCACCCTACTCATTTGAGCCATAGGCGCTGCCCCATAATTCATTTTTTAAGTTCACCCACCTTTCAATCTTTTTACTCAAACAATATGCTTATCAAGAAGGTGGGTATGAAAACAACTTTTTAATGATCCAGGAACTTCCACTTTCCAATACCCTCTGGCTTTAATCTATCATACCCAGATATTCTACTCTACTGTGGACAGATTTCTCAATATTAAAAGGGTTTCAGTTATAAATACCTGAGCACCTTTAATGGCTATGAGAATTATTACTAAATTTATTTATTTTTATTTTTTTTCTTGTTTATTTAAAAAAAACTTTTTTTTAGAGACAGAGTCTCAGTTTATCACCCTTGGTAGAGTGCTGTGGCATCACAGCTCACAGTAACCTCCAAGTCCTGGGCTTAGGCTATTCTCTTGCTTCAACCTCCCCAGTAGCTGGGACCACAGGCACCTGCCAGAATGCCTGGCTATTCTTTTTGTTGCAGTTTGGCCGGGGCTGGGTTCAAACCCACCACTTTTGGTATATGGGGCCGGCACCCTACCCACTGAGCCACAGGCACTACCCTATTACTAAATTTATATCATCTAGTTTCAGGTTCTCTAAATATGCCACATGTTTTCATAATGACATGATATCAAAATGAGTCAGTGAAGCATGTTAGGTACTTTCTAAAGTTAGAACTATGAAGGTATTCATATAAGGACAATTCTTTTGAATAGGCTAGAAAATGTAAATTACTATATACTTATAAAGTCTATCATAATTTTCCATAGATGTATTTTATTTTGGTTTTCTTTTCATTGAGATTCTTTAAGCTGTGGTGATTTGGACAGTGAGTAAACTCAGCATTTTACCAGTTGTTTATTTAATCATAACCCTAAATAATTTCTAAACAATGTCCTTAAATGTTTAAAAGCTGAAAGCAAGTTGGAATAAAAGAATCCTAATAAAAAATTCCAAATGCTTAAAGGGACTTTTATTTAAACTGATAAACATTAGCACTGGCATTCTCAGTAACCATTTTATCTACCTTTACCTTTTCAAAATCTTCAGCTGTGAACTGTTTGGAAGCTACATAAAGCAGTCTTTCAGGATCAATGGCTTTCTTTAAAGTGTGTTGCACAGTAGGAAGATGTGGGTGGCAAGGAGATGATTCGTTACAGTTAATCAATAATCCAAATGCCTCCACTAGGTTAGCTGGAATCAAACTACAATCCTACATAAAATCAAAAGGTAACAAGCAAATATTAAACTTTGGCACTTTCACAACATGGAGATAATTATAAATTAATCATCATATATAACTTGATATAATAATTGTTAATTATTGTGTGTATAATTAATTATAATTTAAAGCAATTTATCTATAGTATGGGAACTTGGTGGTGATTGATTTTTAAAAAATCTTCATTGAGTATTTTCTTACACATCATTCATTAAAGACTCTCTAACTATTCAAGTAGTAATTTTTTTTTTTTTTTTTTAAGAGACAGAATCTCACTTTGTCACCCTCGGTAGAGTGCCGTGGCCTCACAGCTCATAGCAACCTCCAGCTCTTGGGCTTACGCGATTCTCTTGCCACAGCCTCCGGAGTAGCTGGGACTACAGGTACCTGCCACAACACCCAGCTATTTTTTGTTGCAGTTTGGCCAGGGCCAGGTTTTAACCCACCACCCTTGGTATATGGGGCTGGTGCCCTACTCACTAAGCCACAGGTGCCGCCCTCAAGTAGTAATTTCTGTTGAGCAGATACCTGATCTATATAACTAAAAAACATTATTATTTTTACACACCTGATTCACCATTTAGTTATTTGCCCAATAAAGTATAGAAATGGGTCAATAATAAAAACACTAAGAAGACATATTAAAATCCATGACAAAATACCCTGAAAAACATTCTAATAATAAAACATACATATACTCTACCATCTGACCAATTAGAGTGTTGGTTTTCTGTGCGTTTCTCCTTGAAGATGAATCCATATCAACATAAGACCAAAAACTGCAGTGAACTGGAAAAGTCACTTGTTGATCAGCATCACCCCCAAACTTCTTTCCTGGGATGTAAACCGTAATGCTTCTGCTTTCCAGAACTAAGTCAGAAGACATTATCCATTTGTTATTTAAGTTTTTGGTCTATATGTCTACAAATTAATAACAGACATTATTATACAGAATTATACTGTACAAACTTTGGATAGCAAGGTACTGCTAAGTTAGAGTCATCAAGAAGAACAAAGCAAGAGAAATATTTGAATGTTCACATGTCCCATGAGTTGATGAGAACCAGCAGTCCAAAACATATAGTTGGAATTGTGGTCAGCATCTGGGTGGAACAGGCAGAGAGAGGACTGTGAGATTGGTCATATACAGCAGGCATACAATAGAGGCTACACTTAAGTAATGCTCTTGTATGCGGAAAATAAATGATAAAAGTAGGTCATCCATGTGGGAGTGAAAGAGGAAGATAAACAGAATATGAACTACAATTACTAGAGGGAAATAGATCTCAAATTCAAAATGTTCAAAACCAAATTCATTGCTCCCCTCCCACCCTGTTCTAATGGCTCTGTGTTCACTATTCACAATGGTGGTGTCCTCATCCATCTGCTCAAACAAAAAATATGGAAACATCCTGTTTTCACCCTTTCATCCTTCTTTCACCCCTTATTCAGTCTATGGATTTAACACCATTCCTAGGATTCTCCCTCTCAAATTAATTTTTTCTTCATTTATGATAATAGAGTCTTTTGTGTATGTTTATCTTTCCTTTTGGTCATAGGGTAAATGTATGTTTAACTTTTATTGGAAATGCCAGAGCAATTTGCAAATGGTTGTAGCATTTTTTTCTCCCACCAACTATACATGTATGAAAATTCCAGATACTCCACATCTTGATAACATTTTTTGTTGTCAATGTTATTAATTTTTGCCATTCTAATAGAAAAGGCCAGTTATATAATTTGTGGAGTCCAATGTAAAAGGAAAATTTGGCCTCTTATTCAAAAGGTGGGAAAAATACTGCTGTTACAAGTACTACCCCCAAAAGCTTTTTTCTTTAAAAATATTTTATTACTTATAAATTGTAATATAGGTGATATGAACAAACTGAATCCTTCATGCATTACTGATAGGAATATGAAATGGTATAGCCACCGGGGAAAATAGTATGGGGATTTCTCAGAAACCTGAAGGTATATACCCAAAAGAGTTGAATGCAGCCACTCAAGATTCTTATGGGTGGTGTCTGTGGCTCAGTGAGTAGGGCACTGGCCCCATAAAAACAAAGATTCTTATATATGAGCATTCATGACAGTATTATTCATGATAACCAAAGGTGGATAAAACCCAAGTGCCCATCAACGGATGAGTGGATTTTTTCAAAGTAGTACATATACAGAAGAATGTTGTTTAACTATAAAAATGAATGAAATTCTATTAATAGGCAAATTCAGAGACAGAAAATAGAAGAGGTTATCAGAAACTAGGGGGAGGAATGAATAGGAAGTTATTTAAAGGGTACCGAGTTTCTGTTTGGGATGATGAAACAGTTCTAGAAATGGACAATGGTGATGGTTACACGACATTATGAGTGTACTTAACCTCACTGAATGTACTTTAACCACACTGAATGTACTTTAACCACACTTAAAAATGGTTAAAATGGTAAATTTTATCTTATGTATATTTTATCAAAAGAAAAAAGGGATAAAGTGCTGATACATGGTACACCTTGGATGAAACTTGAAAAGATTACACTAAGTGAAAGAAGCCAACGACAGACCACATATTCTTTGATAACATTTATAGTCACCACTCTGTATTTAAGGATTCTGCATCTGAGGATTTACCCAACTGAGGATGAAAAATATTTCAATAGACCAGAATCAGTGGGTGTAATTAAAAAGAGAGAGAAGGCTCAGCGCCTATAGCTCAACCGGCTAAGGCGCCAGCCACGTACACCTAAGGTGGCGG